AAATTAGTTCCACTGGTCCATGTGTCTGTTTTGCTGCCAATACCATGCCGTTTTGATTACTGTTGCTTTATAGTATAATTTGAAGTCAGACAGAGTGATGCCTCCAGCCTTGTTCTTTTTTCTCAAGATGGACAACGTAGTTTATACAGACCTGATTTTTAATTTCAGATTACCTAGTGAATGGTCAAAACACAAAGAAGTCAGGCGTGCATGCTAAAATTATTTTCCCTGATGCTGGCATTACACATATGTCAGAGCCAACACATTAATATTTATTGATGAACAGTTGATACTTAGCTATTGTGATGTAAAGTCTGCAAAGTACCTGTGAATGTGGGACTTAGGTTTCATGCATTAGGTGTCATGTTACATTAGTATTTTGTTCTTCTGGAGGATATGGGGGAGCCAAGAGATCAGTCCAGCTGAAATATTCTCTTGGTCCTCAGACTATAATCCCTTCCTCATAACATCCAGTATCACCTGGTCTCAGTTTATTCCTCCCATCAATTTTCTCATTTCCAAATGGTTGATTCTTATACTCGCCTTCTGCTATAGATTTCTTTGGTGGAAGAAGGAGACAAAATTTCACCCACCTTGCCATATCTGGGCTCCCGCATCTCCCTTCTCTCCCAACACCCTTCAGCAGCAAGTGCCCTGTGAGCCAAATTGCTCTTCACTGCCAGACACCTTTTACTTCATGTTGTACATTTGGAGAAATGGAAGAAGAAGATGGTTAGGTTTTGCAGGATTTATAGGTAATTGAGTAGCTGTCTGCTGGAGAGACAGTATATGGGTCAGGGTTGTGGGTGTGACCAGGGCAGCACCAACCCTTTGGTGCTTTCCTTGCTGAGCCCTAGAGCAGTGGTCCCCAACCTTTCTGGCGGCTATGAGAATCTAATGCCTGATGATCTGCAGTGGAGCTGAGGCAGTAATGCTAGCGCTGGGGAGCAGCTGCAAATAGTGCTATGCAGCCTGGTTCCTAACAGGCCATGGACCTGTACTTGTCCGCGGCCTGGGGGTTGGGGACCCCTGCCCTAGAGCACATGACCACTGACATCACAACTACATCACTACTCATTTCAACCAGGAAGGCAGTTATTTTCTAGAATGCGGGAGCCTGTGAGAAATAGATGATGTAGGCTGTGGGGTTCCATAGCAAGCCCCATCCTTTCATTAATCAAGATCATGTGATCTTGGGCAGTTAATGTACTTTTTTTGCACCTTTCTCTCTTCATCTATAAAATGAGGGTAAGAATACCTCAGAGATTTGTCGTAGAGATTAACGTTCAACATTTCACCCATTCTACAAATATTTATTGAGACTGGCTATTTTTCACACGCTGTTCTGAGAGCTAATGATGCAATAGCTTCTTCTCTTAAGAAGCATGTACACTCTGGTGAAGGAAGAGACAATAAGTATGCAATGTGACAGGTGTAGTAAGTGCTATGAAGAAAATTCGAGCGATTCAGTGAAAGTAGCGTAAAGATTAAGGGTTCCTATTTGATATAAAGTGGTTAGGAAGGTCTCTCTGAGAAGATAATCGTGGAGCAGAGGCCGACATAAAGTGAGGAAGCAAGTTATGCACCTATCAGGATGGATTCATCCAGGCAGAAATAGTGCCTGCATGGACACTGCGTGGAGTGTTCGAGGAGGCCCCCAGTCGCCAGTGAGGCAGGAGCATGGGGTTGAGGGGAGGTGATGGGGGAGGGGGAGGGGAGGGAGAGGGGAGATGTGTGAGGAGGGGTGGGCAGATGAGGACAGCCCTGTAGCCCATCATGAGGGCTATGGATTTTGCTCTAAATGAAGCCATATAAGGGTATTGAAAAGAGGAATGACAGATCTGCCTTTTATTTAAAAACAATTCTGATGAAAATAGACTAAAGGTGGGGAAAATATGAAAATAGGTAGACTAGTTAGACCATCATCTCAGTAATCTAAGTGTGAGATGGTGGTGGCTTGAACTCAAGTGATAGCTACAAATGTAGTAAAAAGAGGTTATACTTTGAAGGTAACCAATAGGATTTGCTGATGACTTAGATGTGGGGTATGAAAAAAACAGAGGAGTCAAAGGTGAGCTCAAATTTTTGGCCGTTGCACCTCAGTGCAAGAGTTTCCATTTGCTGAAATAGAGATAGCTCCAGTACAAGTGAGGTTTGGAGGGAAATTAAGAGTTTATTTTTTGGACGTGTGAAATGTAAACCATCCGTTAGGTATCCAAAAGGAAATGTCAGCTAGCCAGTTGAATCCAGGAGTCTGAGTTCAAGGGGGTGATCGGAGTGGAGATAAACCTTGGAAGATTGTCAGCATGGAAGTAAAAGCTGAGTGAGATCATCAAGGCATAGACTGTTGATGGAGGAGGAAAGGAGACAGTCATGGGCATCCTGACCTCTGAAGTTGCAGGTGGTGAGGAGGAATCGACAAAGAAGGCTGCTGAGTGAGGTAGACGGCAAGTGATGGGAGTGAGTGGTCGATTACCTGTATCCAGTGCTGTTAGTAGGTGAGTGAGAGAATGACTGAGAAGGGACCACGTTTTGCAGTAAAGTGGACATGAAGTGCCCAGGACAGCCTTGTTTAATTAAATAACCAGTATTTAATTAAATTTAGGTCTCTCCTCATCACCAATTTTTATTTTAAGGTTTTGATGGCAGAAAAGCTCACCCGAGTAAATGCCTTAGCCAATCTCCAGGTTCCTGAAAGCGTTACTTGGAGATATACTGTTCTAAATCACTCCTGCATTAAACTCATTTAAGACAAGCTTGAGCTCTCCTGGTGAGGCTGTACCCGCCTGCCTTAAAATCACATGACTTCTGAATTGGGAATGATGTATCATCTCTTTAAAATATAAATGTGCTGTACTGTGTTGTCTAATGAAGAAGGAAGAAGAGGAGGAGACTAGCTTTTTGAGGAGCTTACCATGTTCTCAGCACAATGCGTTTATTTCTCCTTACCTACGTTTGTAATATATACAAAATGTCAAAATTTGAGTCTCCTCTACCATGGTAGAAGTTACTTGGGTTTTTTTTGTCCAGCTTCATATCTCAGTAGTAGTGAATTAATGGAGCCCAGCAAGTCCCCTCTGTGTCTGTCTATTGTTTTCACTTTACAAAAGCCAACTCAACATATTTTTAAGCCCCTGAAAATTTTTTATGGTGGTTCTGACCAAGTTTTATTCTTATCAGTGAAGGTCACATTCAGAAAGTTGTTTAATACTACACAGTTTACAAAGCACTGTATTATACAAAAAAAAATCTGGGCCTTAAAATAACTCTGCAATGTAGACGTATTAGTTATATGAACTTGATATAACTTTCAAAAGTAAGTACTCATCACTCCCTCTTCTTCCTCTATATCCTGTGCTATGTTGCATTGTATTCTTACTTAGCTGCAGACGATATGCTAAACTGTCTCTATGTTTAAATAAATGTTGAGAAATTAGACCCTTTATACTTAGAAATAAAATGGCTTCCCATACGTCTGAATTATTTATTGGCTATGGGCTAAATTATTATAATAGTGGAGATAGGGAGGTGGGTGATAGGTCTAGGTATAGAAAGATGGGGGGATATCACTGGAGAAACAGAAGTTCAAGTCTAGACTGTAACAGATTTCACAGCAAAATGTACAGAAATGGGGACAGACAGATTCTTGCTTTGATCTAAAATGTGTTTCCAGCCTGGTATGGAAGAACTCTTGCAGATAGGTTGTAAGGGTTTGAGCTGGCAAACTATAACTCACATATAGAATTTCCATTTTGTAAGAGGATGCAGGTAAGTTTTTGAGTATTCCTCCTGTGTCTCACTTTGCATAGTTACACACAATTTCCTTTGCCTATTATTTTTCTCTAATATCTTCAACCTCGTGTAATTACAATTGACCCTTGAACAACATGGAGTTTGGGGACACCTCATTTAACTCGACTCCCTAAAAAGTTAACTACAGTTGTCCTTCGGTATCCATTGGGGATTGGTTCCAGGACTGCTCCCCGCCCCAGCAGATACCAAAATCCGCGATGTTCAAGTCCCTGATAGAAAATAACATAGAACAATGCATACAACTAGCCCTCTGCATCCGTGGATTCTCGACCACGGATCAAAAATACTGTATTTAAAGAAATATGGTTGGTTGAATCCATAGATGCAAAACCCAAGGATATGGAGGGCTGACTGTATATTTACTAAAAATAATCCTCCTCCAAGTGGCACCTTGCAGTTCAACCCCATGTTGTTCAAGGGTCAGCTGTATTTGTCATATTCAACCTTGCATTATATTCGATTGTACATTGAGGAATGAATGTGTAAATCATATATTATCTTGCCTAGCATGTTATAAGTTTTTTAATGGCTGGATGATATGTGATTCACCTTTGTTACTTCTCAGAACCTAGCTCAGTGCTTTGTACAAAGTAGGCACTCAAAACTTTTATTGAATAGACTTGAATTAGTGTTGGTAACTTACGTTGGCTGTATTATTCAGTGATAAATATAAAAGGAAAACATATAATAGTAATTAAAGATATGACCTTATTGACTTTCTTTTTACTTATTACCTTTATTTAATAGGTACTCTTTTGGACACTTTTTATATTTGGCTGTTTACCAATGTACCTTAGCAAAACTTATGGATATTAGTTGCCTTATATTTTTAATCCAACTTTTTACAAGAGAATTGTCTGGTATTTGTGGGCCCATTGTGAATATAACCAACTCTTAATACTTTCAAATTACTTAAAAAAAAAAACACACACACACACTTTATTTGGTGGCTTTAGATATATTTACTTCTGTCTCTTGGTTTCGGTAGTAAGCCAAATGTCCTGGAAAGTCCATGACATAAATATAAATCTCATGAAAAAAATGGGGTTATCCATTTTCAAAAGCCAAAATCACTCTTTACTTAACAAAAGTCAGCCTTTAGATCTTAAATTATAATCATTAAATCTGTGTATACGTTGACATTTTAATAGGAATTATCTGAAGTTTTGTTTTTTTGTACGTGATAGTATAGGGAAACCCAAACATGAGTGGTTTCTACAGAAAGACTCCGAAGGGGACACACCTTCACTTATCAACTGGCCTTCCAGGTATCGCCCGCGTGGAAATTCCTGGCTTTTGTTTTGTGAGTGCTTCTCCTCTCCCCGCTGCCTTGCCTTGCTGTTCCACACATCACCCAGCACGGACTCTCCTCCTTCTAACTGCAATGCATTTGAAAATCACGTGTCCGAAAGGTGCTGCTAGACGTTACCTGCTAATCATTTGCTTTTCTCCTTCGGTTGCCCTAATCCCTTCTAATAGCATATCCTCTTGCTCCTCTTTTAGAAAATCTTTTGGCTGCCCCTCCTGTTTTTCTCATCTCTCACCAGCTCACTGACTGCCAGGTAGAGGCAGTGGTGACGACCTAGCTGGCACCTCTGGGTTGCTCTCCTCTTGAGGCCGGCTAACCAGCTAGTGTCCCATCTTGTCAGCAACCCCCACCCCCATCCCCACCCTTCACCTGGCGCTTCCAGCCTCCTTGTTTTCCTGTCTCCTCATCTCTAAGCCAATAGTTAATTTCCTACAGTTACATTGAGGGCCTGTGGTATTAAAAGCAGACAAAAAACCCCTATCATTTCATTTTCAAGGTTGGGGGCAGGGAGAGGCAGAAGGAGTAAGAATGAGTAAGTCATTGGCAGGACAAAGCACCCATATATTGAGTTTCTAACAGTCACTTTGTTCTCAGCTGAGGACAACATTCAGATTGTCTCTGATTAGAAGGACACATTCCACAGGAGAACTTGAACCACATTTCAGTCTCCTTTTGATTAACAAAGCTTATAAATATGAAAATTGTCTAGTCTAACACTGCCTAGGCCCTGAGAAAAATAACAACTCAGAATGCTTTTTTTTTTTCCTGAATCGTTCAGAGTAACTGCCTTTCATGTGTGTCTTTGATTTTTCCATAATGAAGTGCATATAGATATCCAGTATCTTATGCTGAAAAACATGTAGGAGTTTATATCAAATTTAGCCAGGTACATTTGTCATTTAAGGAAACAGTCTCTTCCAAAAAGTGTATATCAGAAATAATAATTTTTGCTGGCTAATCTTAAGTAAATAAATATTTACATTCTCCAAGAAATCACTTTTCTCACTCCAAAGGCATTCTTTATTTTTTTAAAGATTATCCCCAATTAGCAATCCATTCTTTAGCAGTTTCGGTGACTTCTCCTTTCTCACTACATGGTATTTCAAAAAGTAAAAATAAGAACCAGCTAGCACTGTTAAATATTTACTCTTTACTAAGCACTAAACCATGTGCTTTGCAGATATGACATTACATGTTGTCACTATTATTTCCATTTAAAAGGTAAAGCAACTTTACCTTTAAGAGAACCTGAGACCACGTGGCTGGAACAGGCCGAGCCAGGCTTGAAGCCGAGGTGTCCTCAGACCCCGCAGCCAGAGCTCTTGGCTATTTTGCTTCTGCAGTAATAGAAAAATAGAAAAGTAGCTTTTAAAATGGATTTCACTTTTACTCTCAGCTATTTAAATAGCTCTAGAAACAACTAGAGCAGTCTCTTTTTAGATTACTTTTTAACTAACGGCCTAATAGCAATTCCGGAGGAGAGAAAATGTTTACGTTATTAATTCTTTCAACCAATTTTTTTTTTCTAACATTCTTCTTGGTGCTGCAATTATTAATAGTCACAATGTCCAAACTGGTCACATATCTTCTGAATGAATGAATGTGGTCTGCATTGCATGAAAAAGCTTGTAAATGTTTAGTTGAGTGCTTGAAAACAGGTGATTGTTGTATCTTAAGCTCAATAAAAAAAAAATAATAATCATAAATGCTCTTACATTTCCAGGAGACAATGAAATTACATTTGATCAATAGGTGTTTGTATGCCTGGAAACTACCCCCAAGATGCAGATACATGCAAAAAGCTTACCATTCACAGCATCAGCCTCAGTGTGCCCTCATGCATACTTGTGGTATATATTAAGAAATTTTTTTTGTGGCCTCTGGGTATTCATTTATTCATAAGGCATTCATTCTCTCCCAGGACAGCATCTGACCCCTCTCAGTTTTACAGAGGGTACAATCAGTTTTGCACCACACCGGCATTCGAATGCATATTCAGAAGCTCGACTGAGAATCATTCATCTCACAAGCTGTGGGTTTCTGGCATTAACCAGCAGAAATGCTTTCTCACAAGTCGTTCTCTCTTTGGGTTGATTTCCATTCACTGGTAATCCATGATCTGCGCATGCTTCCTTCCCATTGAGCAGTTACTGCACGTTGCAACTTAAATCCTTTTTCTTTCTTAAAGAGTTAAAGTTAGAGAAAAATTGGTGAAAGAGGAGAGTGCTCGCAGCAGCCCCGAACTTGGCTCAGAGTCCTTAACTCAGAGGAGACACCAGCCCGTGCCGATGCCCTACCTGCCCTTTCAGTCAGAAAACTCGGCCTTTGATAGGGTCACGGGCAAGGCGGCCGGCTCTGCGCGACAGCCGATCCGTGGCTATGTCCAACCAGCAGATCCCGTTCACACTGCCGTGATGGTGACCTCAGAAACCCCAGAAAGTGTGTCTGAGTGCAGCTGGGTGGGGTCAGCCGCCCAGAACGTCACAAAGCCTCCCACCTTGAAGGTTCTTGAAGACGAGAGAAGGGATACCCCCGTCCTCCATATTTGTGAATCAAAAGCAGAGGAAGACGTGCCCTTCACTGAAGCTCTCGAGAAAAGCAGGAAAGCGCTCTTGGCTTCAGAGGATGGCGGGCTTGCAGGAAGCCAGGAAGACTCGGCTGGAAATGAAGACCTTGGTGAGCCCGCTACTTGCACAGTCACTTTAGAACACCAAAAGGAACCAGAAAACTCATCACACTCACCTCAAGTTCAGCACCAGTTCACTGAGAGAACCGGCAAGAGCAAAATGGTTTTGTATGTTCAGAGCGAGCCTGTGTTCCAAGATGCTGGAGCTTCAGGTCACAAACAAGAAGCATCTAGGAGGAAGCACAAGGTCCTCACCCGCTCCCTGTCTGACTACACGGGCCCCCCTCAGCTCCAGGCCCTGAAGCGTAAGGACCTAGCTGCCAAGGGAGAGCCGGAGATGCAGAGTCCCAAAGCGGAGGGGCCCCAAGTAGAAGCGAGCATGCTGGACACAAAGGTCTCTGTCGCCCAGCTCCGAAATGCATTTCTGGAATTTGCCAGTGCCAGAAAGAAACCCGAACTGTAGGTGATATTTCAAACGTCCTCCTGATGTGTCACTTGCACGCCCTTGGCAGAATTATTCACTTCTCCACTTGTGTTGTGTCCTGCATTGAGTCATATTTAAGCTTAGCTCACAAGTGTGCAGGGCAGACCATATAGAAAACGGCTTCAAAACTACCATTCTGCTTCCGCCTACTAATGGGGAGCTGGAGGATTGGGTCTCTGGAATGTTCCACCTCCTTCACGTGCATGGTAGAGGCGTGCAGTGGGATTTGGCAGTGTCTGTGCCTTGACTCACTGAGATCCATAAACCTTTGCTTTATTCTCTCTCTCTGTCTCCCCGTTTCCCTGCCGTATACTCTTTCTCGATGATTCTAAAAGCCAATCGCGGGTTGAGAGGTCACCCAAAGGAGTTGGCTTGCCTACCACTGTGGAACGGGAGAGAGGGTCCCGGAAACCAAGACGGTATTTTTCTCCTGGTGAAAGTAGAAAAACTTCCGAGAGATTTAGAACTCAACCAATAACCTCAGCAGAACGAAAGGAATCGGATAGGTAGGCATGTGTATGTGTAGTTCCATGGTCTAGGTACTTAAAAGAGCTCATATGGGGTTCTCACTACAGTGGTGGTCCCAACCCTGTTTAAATGGGGTGTGGTGATTCCGTAATCCTTCCATCTAATTGATAAGGGATGTTTATTTGGCTTGTATAAATGCGTTTTTTAAAAAAACGTTGACCGTGACAACAATTTCCCAAGACACAGTTTTAAATTGCATCCAGATCGTGAGAAGTTGAACATTATTTTTCTTCTTTTAATGTTTTTTTAATTTTTTATGCCCTTGTTCAATTAGAAACCATATTGAGTATTCACCAGATTTTACAGCGAAAATAACTGAGGGATTTTATATTCATTTTATTAATGTCCGCCTACTTGGTGTATTTGAGTTTTATATTATCACATGCTTATGCCTAGAAATGATAAGGTTGGTCTAAACACCTGTCATCAGTTGTGTTTAATAAGTTGTACTTGAGCCTGGTTTGTCTCCACGAGGTGGGCACTTGGCTGGGCTGTGTGCACACGCACTCCACAGTGTCTGTTAACTGTACATGTGTATTCACAACTAGAAGTGCTCTCAGGATGATATTCTCTAAGACAGTTTCATTGCATTGTTATTTTTACTTTTAATACAATATTATATTTGGACCTTCTACTCCCATCAGCTAATTTTTTGTTATTATTATTTGCTAATATCCTTCCTAGGTCTACTTCAAATTCAGAAATGCCAACTGCCGACGGTAAGTATCTGTTTTCCGTTTGCTTCTTCTTTATCATCTTATCCGGATTAGATTTAAATAAGATTTTTGCTTTTTTGAGGGGATGAGGTTATGGTGCATATCAATTTCCTTTCTGCAGGCTTTCTTTCTGTGAATATAATAAAACCTAGGTGAGATTTTTGGATGATCTTTCCCTTATTTTTGAGAGCATTAGGGAACTCTGGAGTGAGCATTATTAAAATAACTGATTTGAACAACAACAAAAAAAAAAAACAGATTTTTCTTGTTACTGCTGCTATTTCACGATGAAGAAGAGACATTCCTTCTCAAAAAAAATCTATTATTAAATCTCAATTCATCAAATAGTACTGTAGAAAATTACTGTCCAGATAGAGTTTTGTTTGGTTAATTGCAAAGGAAATGAGCATATTTTCACTGGGCAGAATAAGGGGCTCCCTACGAGGTGAAAATATCGCCATTTCTAATTTTTAGAACATCTATTCTTACGTGCGAAGGATTTCCAGGTCAGCCTTGGAAGACTTTTGAGAGCCTTTGCCTGCATTTTCTAATGATGTTCAGTTTTTATCTCGTGGCTTTTTACAGATGAAGAAAAGGTAGATGAGCGAGCCAAGCTGAGTGTCGCTGCCAAGAGGCTGCTTTTCAGGGTAAGATGTGCCAAAGTGTTTGAGTAGAAACTGTCACTACATCCACTGCTCCTAGCTGCATCCCGCTCCCGGCCCTCGGCGGCCCACCTTGCTCTGGCCCACCCATGGTTCTCCCCAGGTCCTCGGCTGGTGCGACTACCAGCTGAAGCAGCACACGTGTTCACTTCTGATCAATAAAGAGTCTGAAGGGGAGCAGAGTCGAGACATTTTGCTGCCCCAGTTTCCTTTCCTCTCATTCATAAGGATTCCACCACGTTTCTGATCTCAGGAAATGGAAAAGTCGTTTGATGAGAAAAACGTCCCTAAGCGACGCTCACGAAACGCGGCCGTGGAGCAAAGGCTGCGGCGGCTGCAGGACAGATCCCACACCCAGCCGGTCACCAGCGAGGAGGTGGTCATCGCAGCCACGTGAGTCTCCCTCGCCGCCTCTTGGCCTGGGCGATAATGTCTTTAAAAAAAAAAAAGATTTAAAGACTTGTAAATAAAACGAGTGAATCAGGAGATGGTTTCATTAGAAGCCTCAGCCAAGCCGGTGTTTAGATATTTTCCTCACTGCTCTCTCTGAACCTGGTAATGGGACATGTTACCTAGTGTATCTCCTAGAAAAACATGAAGAGGAGCTTTGCTTCATTTTTTTGTCTCTGCATTTTTTAACTCTTTTACGATGGAAAATTTGCAACACGAGAGGAGACGAATTAATATACCGAACCCCACGTTCTCATCACCCAGTTTCAGCATCTTCAGCTCCTGCTCTACCTGTGTCCCCACCCGCTTCTCCTTTCCTCCTGCATTATTTTCCAGAAAACTCCACATACCATTTCTCCCATTGATATTTTAGTATATGTCTCGAAAAGTGAAGGATTCTTTTTATTTGTTTTTAAATTAAAAAAAAAAAAAAAAAACAATTGGAAGTTTGATAACTTTCCAAACTATGGAAAGTAATTTTTTGAGCAGTATGTTTTAATATGTTCAGAATGGATTTCCCAAAGTAATTCACTCATTCAGGGATAAATTGCTTCTATCAACTAAAAATTTTATTAGTTTTTTTAAAATTATTTTTGTGCTTCCTCTGAACACACACACACACACACACACACACACACACACTTCCTGAATAACTGAAGTGCATGGTAATCAGGACATTAACATCCCAAGAGGCCTCTCTGTCACAGCCCATACCTGTGAACCTGCCGTTTGATGACCCAGCTGCCTTTATTGCCCCAGCTATTCCTCGATTTCTTGGTATATTTTAGGAAAAGTACATCCTATACTTATTAGGAACTCTTAGCAAATAAGTTTAATTTTAACTTTAATTTTTTTTTTTTAAATATGTGAGTGGTTATAGTAGAACATAAAGCAGCTACTCATGGGAGAAAGTAGTAAATATAAGGAAAAATTATCACCTTACGAGGCTGGCCGACTCTATTTTTTCTAAAGATAGGGTAAATCCTTTCCAAGCTCTAAAAACCTATTCTTATTCCATTGAGCCTCTGTCTCTTGTTTCCTAACTTTGTCATTGCTTTTCCAGTTCTTTTGTGATTCTCCCGAAGTAATGAGAAAATAATTCCGTACAAAAATATTTGATTTCGCATTTCTGAATTGAAAACTACGCTTTCCTTAATGCTTCTTCTCTTCTCTCTCCTTATGAATGTTCCTTCTTTGGCCATTGCTTTAAAGTGAGCCTCTCCCTGCTTCGTGCCCGGTGGCCGCCCACCCCGTAATGGCAAGACTTCCTAGTCCCACTGTAGCTAAGAGCACTGTGCAGCCTGCCAGGTACTGGACAGCAGAAGCTGCATGCGGCCCCCAGGGCAAAGACGCTTAACTGCAGATGCACCTTAAAACCGTGAATGCCTTTTGTTTACTTGACAAACAAGTCAGTGTCATGAGTTGTTCCAGATGTGTGTGGCATTTTGTTTTGTCATAGTACAAGACCCTGATAACTTCATGTACGCCTGCATGGAAAAAAAAAAAAAAATCATCTACCCGCTTCCATGATGTATTAGAACTAAGATCACACTAACTCACTCATCCATTTGTTTTCTTGCTGTTTTTTATCATCATAGCCATCCCTAAGAAATGTCATTCTTCAGTGTGAAATACTAGCACTTAGTAAAGATTAACAGAAAAATAGGAGTTAACATGAATGTTGACATTCTGATAATACCCAGTTTTCTTTAATATGTGTTAAAAAAAAAAACAGTTCTACCTGTTTCTAATGTACAGACAATGCTGTTGTATTTGGAAATTAGGATATTAAGTATTTGTAGTGTCTGCACTTAGATGTTTTATTATCGTGTTTTAAAATTATGTCCTTAAGACTTGGGAATAGCCCCTCTACTATACTGTTATGGGCCAAAACACAAAGGCTAAAAATAAGACTAAAAGAAGTAAAATGACAGTGCAGAAATAAAGCTGGCACAAGCCAGAAGCGGGGACCTTTCTGGGACGGCTCTGAGGTTACCCTCCCAGTTTGCCTCCAGACCTCAGGACAGACACCGAGCCTCAGAGCGCCTTTATTGCCATCCTTATTATACCCTGAGAACACTCATGCTGCTCTTTTGTCTGGGGCGACTTGTGAAGTGGTGATTAGTTGGAGTCATGGCAGAAGATACTGTTTTCTGGCTTTGAAAATTGGATTTGCCAGTGGCCAAAGGGACCTCGTCTTAAACCTTTGAGGATTCACTGAGGCCATGTAACCGGAAGCCTTCCGCTCTGCCTGGAAGCCGGAGGGACGTGCCATTGCCTGAAATTTCCTTCACTTTTCAAGTGACTGGGAATGACAGATTTAAGTGCCTTTAAGAGAACAGAGAAAACCTATGAGAGCAAGTGCTAGAGTGAAGGAGTGAAAGAATCTTTCAAATGAAACCATTTGTGTTTAGCAAGTGAAAATGAAAACCCTGTGTGGTGGATAATGCTGTCGACAGAATAAGCATCCTATGTCCTAATTATTTAAAATGAAAAGACTACCTTCAGAACCACATAATTAGATAATATCCAAATACGGTGATGCTTTAGGACTCCCTGTAGCCTTACAGGTTATTGATACTAACGATACAACCTCTAACTCTAAAATTAGGTCTGTCCAAACCAACCAGGATTCCCTAACCAGGAAGTTCAAGTTTTAGAGATATTTCAGAGCTAAATATCTGCTCTTCATGAAACTGATAATGCTAGCGTCACCAGCCTACTCTGCTATTCACTGTCTTATTTAATGGCTAAATAAGTGCCTGCACCTGTCTTGAATGTACGTGGGCGAAAATAAGCCCTTTCCAAAACTGACACTGGAAAGAAAGTTAATATACACAATCAGTGGTGGGCTTCTGTTTCTTTTATCTATGTTACCGACTTTTTCTCCCTTTCAGATTACAGGCCTCTGCTCACCAAAAGGCTTTAGCCCGAGACCAGGCAAATGAGGGCAAAGATTCTGCTGAACAAGGAGAACCTGATTCTTCCACTCTCAGCTTAGCCGAGAAGTTGGCCTTGTTTAACAAATTGTCCCAGCCAGTCTCAAAAGCTATTTCTACCCGAAACAGAATAGACGTGAGACAGAGGAGAATGAATGCTCGCTATCAAACTCAGCCGGTCACGCTTGGAGAGGTGGAACAGGTGGGTGCCCCGTAATCCAACTTCAGTTTGCGGGTATGTTCTTAAACTGTAGGCGCACCGTGCTAGCTTAGGTTAATGATATAATCAAGGCGATCTACCTGTAATTGATCTACCTGTAACAACTTCATTCCTAAGAAAGTCATTATGCCAAGTATGTTTTTTTTTCTTGTTTTTATAATTCGGAATCATCTGGAACGAGTTCATTTTGGAGAGAAAAATAGGATGCAGAATCTGCTTTTCACCCAGATGGATTTTAGCTAACAAAATGCATTATATAAATATATCTAGGATCAGTTTCCCACTAAGATAGGCATTACACTGCACTAAGTTCAGTCTAGGTCTATCCATCCACCGGGATCTATAGAGACAATATTTTAAAATCGGCTTTTCCCTTCTTCACTGTGTCCCTCCCCCCCACCCCAGGTGCAAAGGGGAAAGCTCATTCCTTTCTCGCCCACTGTCAACACATCTGTGTCCACCGTGGCATCCACGGTCACTCCAATGTATGCGGGGGAGCTGCGGACACAGCCATCCATGGACGACAACCCAAGGGCCACTGACTACAAGTTTCCTTCTTCGATAGAAAATTCAGACTCTCCAGTTAGAAGCATTCTGAGGTCCCAAGCCTGGCCGCTTTCACTGGAAGGCAGTGGGAACAAAGGCACATTGAGAGAATTGGGAGAGACAGAGAACAAGAGAGCCGTGACAGGTCGGGACGGAGGTGTGAGAAAGTACGGGTCCTTTGAGGAAGCAGAGCCATCCTACGCCATCCTCAACCAAGTCCGGGAAGGAGACAGCCATAAGGAAACGAAATACGCTGTCCTGAGGAAGGGAAGCCTGGAGCTAGTCAGTCCTCCCGTCGCCCCTCTTGGTGACGTGCTGAAGGAATTTTCCACCGTGGAAAGCACCGCACCAGGGACTCCAGACTTGAAGGACCGGCAGCACTTTGGGGAGAAAGTGGACATGGAGAATGTCACAAAGAGGAAGTTTTCGCTGAGAGGTGAGTTGCTACTGACTGCTTCTGACTGGGTTTTTAGTTTCTGCTTGATTGTGTGCATGTGCCTGTGAGTGTTTCTGACTGAATTATGAAGGGGCTTATAACTTAGTATTGATGAGAAGTTTAGCGGGAATGACACTCTCCCCCAGACTTCTCTTCCCCTTGAATCTGACTTGTTCAGTGGATTATCAGTTTTTCAGCCATAAAAATAGCTGACGCTCTTTCACACATCTTGATAAGGGGGTTGAATGACTGGTCACATTAGCTCACATCACAGCCTTGTGAACTTGCCAGCTCTGCTCGCCCTTTTATAAGTCAGTGACCCCAAATGTCCAGGGCTGGGTAAGCACAGGGGGGCAGGACTTGAACTCAGGTCTGTGGATTTCTAGGCTTACTTTCTACATCCCTCTTATGCAGACTAGCAAACTGTACTGCATAGGCCTTTCATTCTCTTTCTGCATCTACATAAAATAACAGTGTGCAAGTTATAATAGTGCTTTTGACTTGCGAATGTGGCATGTTTGAAATGTGAAAGATTGTCTTGGAGGAGTAGAAACATTCTGGAGCATACAGTTAAAACTAACTTCCTGTGCCTTGCACACAGGAAAAGACCAATTGTCACAAAACAGTTTGCTGTGCGGGGTAACCCACTGGGAAGTTTGGCTTTCTCACAGAATGTAGCATGCCGCAGATTTGCATAAATCCCAGTGGATTGGGTAACGGGCCATGTGCCCACGGATTGAACTCCAAGTGCAGAATCGTTGGGGGGGACGAGCTGGGAGTACATTTGCCTGGAGGAGGAAGTGCTGACGTCGCTCCTTTCCTTCCCAGCGGCGGAGTTCGGGGAGCCCACTTCTGAGCAGACCGGCACAGCTGCTGGGAAAACCGTTGCCCAGACTGCACCCCCAGTGTCCTGGAAACAGCACGAGCCTTCAGAACAAGCACAGGAGAAGCACTATAAGAATCCATGTGCGATGTTTGCTGCTGGAGAGATCAAAGCGCCGGTGGCGGAGGGCATCCTTGATTCACCCAGCAAAACCATGTCAATTAAAGAAAGGTAATCAGATTTAACGATTGCGAAGTCATTCTGTTAGGGAGGAACTTAAGGTTTTGCTTTTAGAAAAAAATCCCACTAATGGGCAAAGAGAGGAAATCGGAGTCTGGCTGCATGAGAAGATGTGCCGTTTTGCTAGAATTCTTGGGAAGTCGGGGTATCTAAGAGTGAACTGCATTCGCCCCGGTGCCTGGCTGGGTAACGCGGGAAGAACGCCAGCTCCAGACTCAGATGAGGAAACCAACAGAAGCAAACATTTGCTTGCTTCTTTTGTTTGCAGTTTATTTTTCTTTTTTTTATATTAAATTCTTTGACTGTCCAGTGGTGGGAGCAGAGATCTCGGCTTTTTCCCTCTCGGATACACGTGGCTTCAGATGAATGCACCCATGGCTTGTGACTATTTGTGTAAAGTATATGCAGAGAGAAGGAAGATAAATTCATATTTAGGATATAAATCTTTGGTATTAGAATCTAAGTTTTGTTTATTTTATAGAAGGTAAAATGGATGACTTTTCTGAACTGCATTTAGAAAGTTTTTCTCAAATAATAGCTATGAAAGATTACATTGGCATAGCAGTACCATAACATCATTTCATTCAAAAGAATGATGGAGGGCTGAGAGGATATTTTTAAATGGGAGAGATACGAAGAATGAGAGCTAAATATTTCAGGTTGTATTTTCCTTGTTAACCTTAAGCCACTGTTGAACTGAGCAGCAAAAGATGTAATGGTGATAGGAACACACCTGAGCAAGGTCTCATCGATTTCATGGGCAGAACTATTTCCATCGGCTCTTTCCGGTTCTGCCCACCTGGACTCCGCCTCAGCACCTCCCACCTCTCGAAAATCTTCTCACTCTGTCAGGCTCCGGCCACTCTTATTTTTCTAGCTACATTCCAAACTACCTAAGACGATATATCAAACTACAGTGAAAATTCTTCATTCTGTTTTTCAAGCCAAGCTTTTGAACAATGTTCATAAAATATTAATTAGATGGAGTCTTTTTCAACTAACGAATTAGTAAAGTTGGTAGATCTTATTTATTTTCACCTTTGTTATTTAAAATTCACAATAAATCAGACCTACCAGACTGAGGAGGCAGAGGCGAAGGACTGATGGGATGAGTCAAATCAAAGTGATGTCTTAATCAGGGAAGCTGTGTGGCCTATGAAGTCCTCCTCTGTAGAAACCTGGCTCGAAGAGAGTTCGGTCCTAGACATCCAACTATTGATACCCAGTTAGGTGAGAAGGAAGAGATACCATTTAATGGAATTAATGATAAACATCACTTATACACAAGTTCTGATATTCTACATATCGGAAAATATTTCTGGGGGTAAAATCCAATGGAAATACTAATATACCCTTTCTTTCAAAGGCTCGTAAAGGAGATTCCTTATCTTTGGGTATAATCTATCTGTTGAGACTTAGGACTTTTGATAAAGTTTTGTGTCTATCCACAATGCAATAATTACTGATGTGCCTATATTTAGTAAATTTTAACATATCTATCTTTCTGAAAGGAGTTTTAATCCTGTAAAATTCTCATTTTGGAAAATACAAGATGATAGAAAGTCGGAGCTTCCTAACCCAGGCTTTGTGGAGATCTGAGAAGTTCCAGGATGGCTGTAGGGCTTCTGGGAACTGCCTGGAAGTGTGTTCAAAGTTGACTGTATATACCTGAACCTCTGGCTAATGGGAGACAGAACTTCTCTCAGTCTCTGAGAGTAATTCCGAACTGTTCAGAACCATGATGATAATGAATGCACGTTAAGTAGTTAGCTATTCAGTTTAATTGTTAAAATTTGCAGGCATACCTCTGTTATATTGTGAGTTTGGTTCCAGACCACCACAGTAAAGCAAGTATCTCAATAAAGCACGTTGTAATCCTTTTGCTGGTGGAGGGTCCTCCCTATAATTTGTAAAAAATGCAACATCTGTGAAGCTCTATATAGCAAAGTACAGTAAAATGAGGTCTACCTCTATGTTTAAAAATGGATAAGGTACACTTTATTTAGCAGCTGTTTATAATTAATTATGCTAATATGAAATATATTGTCAGCGATCTCCCCCCTAATCTTAATGGTGCTTTTATTTGTACTTTGCTGAAGTCACAGAACTACGTATCTTTATAATCCATCTGTGATAGCTTTTCCCTAGGAAGGGCTTATAATCCCTCTCTTCTGTTAAAATGAGATATTGAAGTTTGACGTATTTAAAATAAAAATGCTAATTATTTGAGTTTTACTTTTCTTTTTTTGAGGTAGCATGTAAAAAATAAGAACTTTTATACCTGATTCTAACTTTTTCTTCTTTCCGAGGGAGGGTTTAGTTCCAGAGACCACGAGGGTCACGTGGTAGACAGAACTGACAGCAGGGGCTAGTCTCTACCTCTCCCAACTCAATCCTCAATGCACTCTGTTTTTAGAACATGTCTGATGCTCAAGGAAGCATATCTTTTTCTATCTTTTTCTGACATCTTGAATGTCAAGTCGGAACCTTAAATAGCATGGAACTTAAATACAATCTGCTTCTTTTCACTGGATTAATAAAATCAGTGTTTCATAACTGTCTAAATGATTGGGGTGTAAATCGTTCCCGTTTGGGAACTCCTTTGAAAAGCATCGCAAATCAAATAATCTTTATGTTATTTAGGGACGAAAACTTGATGTCTCTTTAAAAGTACACTAGGCTTTTAGAAATCTTGTTTGCACAATTACTGAAACAACTGGATCTGAGCTTCCTTATGTGTGAGAGATGATTACTGAAAAAAGCCAAGGAGCCATCCGTTCACTGGAAAACTGGCGGAATGTGAACACTGAGTTGAAGAAGGTTGAAGAACCCGCCCCATGCCTCCCAGCAGCCTGCAGCATACTGACTTACAGTGGCCGCTGGGGATCCCCCTGTGGTCCCTCCATACCCCTCCCCCCACCCATCTGCTCTCCACCCAGCTGAATGGCTGTATCCACTCTCCCCCAACAGACTGGAGGCTCCTACCTTCTAGCTGGGAGATTTCAGCCACTAGAGGGCCCAGAATCATGTATTAGGGATAGAGGTATCATTCCTCTTTGACCTGCCTTTTCTGATGTTTGATTTACCTGCATTTAAAAGACATGATTAGTTCACTCCTCCAGCCTGCAAACTAGCCCAGGCCAAGATCTGATGTAAATACTAATCGGTGCTGTTTGGCCCTATCTGACATTTGTGTGGTGCCAGTGATTCTCTGAACGCAGGGACAGTTTTTAAAGGGGGAAGAAAAAAATGTACTGGTCACACGGTTTGCCTGACCCGTGTGACCCAGCCCTGACTGCTGTGAGCCCGCAGAACTAGTTCTAATGAGGCAGGGCTGTCGGCTCGGTGCCGGTGAAACGGCCGTCTCAGGCCAGTATTCCCCGCTGGAAAAGTGTGGGCTGGGGCAAGAAGGGCGGACATTTCCCCGGGCGGCCTGACAAGCACAAGTCACGGTGGCCCCAGCCAGGCCTCGGGGTTAATAGGCTAACATAGTGCCACTCGCTAGATTCTCCCATCAGACTAAGCGGATGTCCAGGCTCTCAACATCACAGCCCTGCACTTGGACTTGGCGGATGTTAGAAGTGCTGACAGTTGTTTGAACGGCACAGGCAGTAATTTGTGTCATGTGTAGGACCAGACGTTTCGCCCCCCGGCCCTCCCCGTGCGTGGCCGCCTGCGGTGAGTCAGCAGCGTCGTGAGACTGCGCGGGCAGAGAATACGTGTGGGAAAAGCCGTTTACCCTCCCGGCTCGCTGAACACCAAGTGGGGACAGGGAAAGCGGTTCTGGTCATTTTTCCCCTAATCTTTCGATTGTTTGAGCCTCAGCTCACGTGAGTTTAATGACCATCACTTTTTTGCCTTTTACCTTGTGTTGTCCACCTTAAAGGCTTCAGTCTTCTTCATTCATTGTGATGGAGTTGGATGAAACAGCCTCATGTTCACGAAAGTAACCTTTCACAGAATATAACATTCAAGCTGCACGCTGCAGTTGAACTGAAGTAGGTTAGGAAAAATCTCAGCTAATTAGATTCTTTTTTTGTATATAACTTTCCCCTGAGGAAAGTTGAAGTAATAATTTAAAAAATGGGTTTGTAGAGAATAGTTTCTGTATTAAGAAGAAAAAGCAAGTTCATTTGGAGGAAAAGAACAGAGCTCAGAATATAGGAAGAGACAGTCTTAAACATGATCTTTTACCTGTAATTGAAAGGTATGAGATTAATAGATGGTCAATGTTTTACAGCTTTACGTTTTTAAAACCACTTCTGCTGTATTTTCTGCAAATAAGTTCCTATTTGGCTTTAGTCGTTAAATATTATTATATCAAGTGACCAGAAGGGGTCACTGGCAGACATTTTTTCTCTGGGGACCGATTCCTTTCTCTCTGCCCTCACCACGGGCAAGGAAAAATCGCCGCTATTCCTTTAGTGGAATGATGATGCGTCTTTTATCCGACAAGTCAGATTCAGCTTCGCATTTCTATCAACTTTAACATCTATGGGGCCATCTTAGCAAAGGGACCCCTGTGTTATTTTTCCACACACACTTTCTTCAGAAAAAAAAATGAAATTCAAAAAGATTAAAAGAAGGCAGCTGTGGTCATTTAATGGGCAAAGACTTCCAACTTATCTAAGTTCCGGTTCTATTATGAGTGAGAGTTTGGTGCTGAACTCTTTGGTTGGTGTGTTTTCCCCTTAGATTAGCACTGTTGAAGAAGAGTGGAGAGGAAGACTGGAAAAACCGACTCACCAGAAAACAGGAGTACGGCAAAGCGTCTGTCACGAGCAGCCTGCACGTGCAAGAAGCGGAACAGTCGCTCAAGAAGAAGGTGACGTTCTCCACGTTAGGAAAAAGCATTCTGACTAACGTCACACTTGCAAGTGCATCAGTCCAGCATGCATAACTTCACTAACACCATTCCGTGAGGCCCTAGCACTGTCTTGCCGTTTGAGTACACACGTAACGTACGTTAACTATCTCGCAACAGCTTAAACTGATCAAAAGATAAAGTCTTGAGATGTGGTAGAACTGGTAACTGTGCCACCTACATTTTGAAGCGTGTACGTTTACTTTGTTTCAAAACTTTCTTAAGTGAAGTCTGACTTTACAATGTTAATACAGCCTTTATAATGAAAAACTTTAATGGACCACTAACAGTTTATAAGTTGCATATAAAATATGGACTTAATTGTCCTATACTGAGATTTAAAACCTAGGTAAACAAAGTAAGGACATAATTTTTGTGGTCAGTGAGTCCTTATTTTTTAACTTTAAGCATATTTCACAATGAGCAGGTGTGCCTTTTCCTGAGAATACAGAGGAAAAAATGTTACGCGTTTAAATAAAATTTAATAACACATTGTTATTAGTCCTGGCAAGGATTTCATAGGCAAAAGTTTTAATGAGTTGTTAAATTACCAATATAATGATGACCAGCTTTTGACCAGTTAGTGCACACTTTCAAAGTGGCTGGTGACTTTCTTGCTGCTTGGCCCTTTGATTGCAAATAAACTTACTGGCTGGAAGCAAGGGGGACACTGTGGTACATCCACTAGGCAACTTCTAGGATCAAAAGTCTTCACACAGAGACGAAAAAAAGAAACTTTCTACCAAATGATCACCTGGCCCCTTTCTAGTTCTAAAACAACTTAAGCATTTGCAAAAAAGAGAAATTATGAATGTGACCTTTGTGCATTAAGAAACGTCAAAAGAAAGTGTGTACATAAAACTGTGAGGCAGGAGTTCTGACACTTTTATATAGTATTTCTGTATCTTCATAGGTTAAATTGGAACAGCAATTTGAATTCTTTCTTTTGAGACATACATGATATTAGAGATAATGACTAAAAAACACTTAATTCCCAGCCGTTAGTAAATTTCTCAAATCCAATCAGCTGTGAATTTTAGATTCGCATACGTGTAAAATTTGGATTTTAAGAATAAAATCCTCAAGTGAAAACTAGTCCCTCAGATAATTTGTCCCTAACTCCCACAGACTTCATTTAAAAAGATCTTGAAGTCATTGCTTCAAAAATAACGTTTACCTCACGTCGGTCATTTTGGAAGATGCAAAAAAAGCCTCGGGAGCTGGCAGTTCCATCAGGCCAGGTGAAAATTAAAAGAAAGCTACCAATGTGCTTTGTAGCTAGATACTTTCCTCATGAATAGTAGAATGAGATAAGTGTTCTACCTGCTTTGAAGACAGGGGTCATTTGAGGCTGTGGAAACCAGAGGCTGTGAGTAGAGGATGAGATTTGACCTGCCTCAACACTTGGCTAAGGTGTTTGGAAGGCAAGAGATGCAGGGAGACTGCGGTTGCCTCTGGGGTGGGAACTCCAGTCAAAGGAAGTGCTAGGGCTCTAAGTGTGACTGGGGCTTGAGTGTGAAAGGAGGCCTCTTGACTAATGGGAGCTGCAGATTCTGCAGCAATAGTGAACTCACTCTCCCACTCCTCCTCAGTAACCTAGTTCACTGTGGCCTGAGACAGTCGGCTCTTTGAAGTTATAATAAGCCTATCTATTTTAGGCTCGTGTAGCAGACATTGGGACATCTCAAGTTCTGATGAGGTCAAGTGGTTTTCACATGGCCTCTGATAAGCCCTTGGCTTGATTTCTTCCCCAGGCTGGCCGTATATTTCTGTCACACCTTCGCTGTGCTCAAATGTGAGATTCCTTAAACCCGATCTGTTTTAAGACAGTCCCCAAAGAGCTGAGGAGTATTTGAGAAATCGCCACTGCTTGCTGGGTGTCCGAGTGCTGCCCTGGAGAGTGAGGGACAGTCATGACGTGGTGCATGCAGATGGGACTTTGCTGCCTGCGCTGGACCTAGACTTACTAATGGAGAGCTGCCCAGGGGAGCGAGCACCAGAACCTCCCATCTTTTCCACCGATGTGGAAAGGAGCTGGTTTTACAGTCAGGTCATTACTTCTTGCATTCATCAAACAGCATATATTCGTGGTTACCAAACATTTTACAGTTTGTCCTCCTCAAGTGTTTGTGTGTGGTAAGCATAGTCTCATGATTTGCAGTCCGTGGGAATGCAGAGGAGGCAGGAAGTAGAGATAGGACTCTGTAAATCGCTTCCATTGACCCCATGAAAATCCTTGCCGTCCAATAAAAATATGATGTGAGCCACATACATAATTTTAGGTTGTCAAGTTACCACATTGAAAAAAATGTAAACATCTCCTTAGAAATCTATAACTGCTTTATTTCTGTCAAAGGCTTTGTCCCCAAACAAAACAAATTTGTGGTTCTCTAACTAGCATTTTATCGTGGGTCCTATATGGTAAGAAAATATTCTTTTGGCCCATGAATAGATTTGGGGAACTGAGAGTTTTCCTTTCCCTATGAAAAGATCAATCATGTCTCAGAGAATATGCAACTTAACAGCAGTTCCTTGCTTTCCAGATTTATCTTCCAGTATCAGGACTGATGAATTAGCGCCTAAGAACACTGACCCTTCACCTAGCCAGCTGTCATTTCTATGACGGAGAGTCTGAGTTCCTTCTCTCTCCCCTGTCACCCTTCTTTTCTCTTCTTTCTCCTGGTTTTGGCTTAGTCCAGGGCAGTGCTAACCTGACTTAAACATTTCTGCTTTTTTAGCATATATAATTAGTTCTCAAGACGGTGAAGCCATTTGGTTTGTAGATTTGGCCCAGTTCACACCGTGTGGAATGCGTGTCCTTGAGCCTGATCTGTGGACCGTTTACTGCAAAGTAACTCATTCCATCAAAAGAGTGAGAGAAATGACACGAAGCGAAGTTTTAAAGAAGTGTCTTGGCAGGAATCTCTGTCACAACTAAACTGCAGTTATTTATTTTCACCAAATAATTCTTTTGAACTCCGATCCCATTTTGGCATATGTGACATTAAGATATAGACAGAGAATCACATGTCCTTTTGTTTAGATAATCACCCAGGATATCAAACTTTTCCAGGAAATAAGAATGCTTTACAGAGTTTGCCTTTACAACCTGTGTCTATTTCTGAGTCACAGATTAGGATTTTATATCTACTGTGCTTCAACAGGATCAGGTCAGTGAGTCAAGCTAAGATCTATAACATTCCCAAAACAAGTCCTTGACAATTCGAGGAAGGTAAATCTGCGCATGCGTGTTCTAATTCCAAATCTGCATTGAGGAGAATGAAGCAAATTTAAAGAGCAGGGAGAGGAGGGAAGGAGAGGCTCATGTTAAAAATCACCATCTTGCAGACGGGGTGTGAGCTTGCTTGGTCTCTGTGCCCCTTGACTTGTGAGCACGTGCATGCTTCTAATGGAACCCAGGCACCAAGTACTGGAAAGAGATTGTGACACCCTAACCCGACCCTGCCCTTCTGACACTCTGCAATGTTACTGTTTGTTTTAACCTGTAGGAAGAAGGAGGATTTTCAGATGATAGTGCCATTTCTAACCTGCTTTGGGTAAGCCTGACTCTAGCAGAAGTGTCCTCTAGATTCTAGCCAGTTATGCCCACCACATGTCATTCTCATCGGTGACGGTTCCCTTGTGCCCTCTCCCTGTTTGGTATTTTTATCCTGGGGCGAGACGCCACCTTCATCCAGAGTGGAGAGCCATCCTAGCTCCTTTCATTTCTTTTTAATCATGTAATGAAAAAACTTCAAAGGAGATATTTTATGCTAAATGTTAAAACTGTCAATGAAAAAGTTATGGTCCTCCTTTCTCTGACTTAGTATCTTCTATAAACCGCAGTAATCTTGCCCTTAATTCATTTAATTACTATACAAAGCTGACTTGGGTATATTGACTGTGCTTATGTGGATTTAGTTCAGCGTTCTAAAAAAATAAACAAAGAGGAAGCACTCTTTTGGAAAGATAAGTGAAATTGCAATGAGTAAATTAACATTCTGTTAGAGAAATCATTGTTTCTGTCTCTCCCCTCCCCACCCCGCTCCGATATTCTCTGTTCACCTCTAATCCTCTTGCTTTGCTCTATAGGAACCTGTATATGCTTCTACTTATTCTCCTGCTATACCTGCTGCCCATAAATACCTGTCTTTTGTATCTATTAATCAGGTGAGGAAAAGCCAACCCATATTAAGCCTCATTGCAATTTCCGAGCAGTAGGAAAAAACTGGTTTCATTTGGGGAAGCAACTCCTTTGCTGCATTTCAGGCTGCGTGTGTGTACGTGTGTGTGTTTGTGTGTGTGTTGAATCAGTTCTTCGTATAGTCAGAGTCAGTCACACACATCACATCCTTGGCTCAGATTTTCAAGTAGACCTGGTGATATTAATTTACCTCACAGTCATGAAACTGGTTGAAGAAAAAAGTTTTCCCTTTTACTCTTTAAGTTTTATATCCTTAATTGAGTCAGGAGCCCAAGAAATACACCACAGAGTTCCTGCCTCCAGCTCAGTGGTGATGCCATCTTGCATAGCTCGATAAGCAAGGAGGACGTGGTGGAGGCAGTGTGGAGTGTGGAAGGGACAGGGAGAAAGGTACAGGGAGAGAGAGGCCGGTGTGACATGAGCTGACTGCAGTGGCTCTATTGAAATGAGAAACCACAGGCTTCCTGAGCCCTACCTTCCATGCTCATCCTCACCGTACCCTGTCTGAACCCCACCCCTGCAGGGACACCCGGCCTGGTCTGAGGCATTCTGTTGGTGCATAATAGGTGATCATTTTTAAAGCTAGAAACAACAACGATTATTTTTTATTCCCTTTGGAATGTCCCTGGTGCCAAAAGAGCTATGAAAAGCGGTGGCATCCCCTTTGCCATGAAGCCCAGGTTCTCATTTTCCTTCTCTATGGAACCTTGCCGGGTCACTTCCCAGTCAGGGCCTCTGTCTCCCCACCAGGACTGAGACTTTATGCGGTGGCCTCTACTAACCATTTCATGGCTGCACTGTCCCTTTAGGACTAGTCGTAACAAAGCAGGTCTTTGAGTACGAGGTGCAGGATTTCAGGAAAAAAGTGAAATTGACGAGAGCGTTGCCAGGAAGAGGTGTCTCGGGGTCCTCTGTCTTCATCTTGCATCTTCACACGTGGGAACCCCCATTTCTACTCCTGAAGGTGGACTTTTCCCCTCACTCTGCCTGGTTCCTTTCCTCTGAAGTTAGGAATGCTGGTCTGTGAGGGCCTAGCCCCACGCAGCTGGTCAGTGTCCACACGAAAAAGAGGCTCAAATCTAGGCAAACTTACAGTTCCATCACTAAGGGGGAACACGAGTTGTGTCTTCTAAATAAATCAACTTTATTTAGAAGGTATATTATTGAACTCCTTCAATATGGATTCTACATATATAATATACATGTCTATTTTTAATAGACTCTACTTTCTAGAGCAGTTTTATGTTTATGGCAAAATTGAGCAGGAAGTACAGAGGTTTTCCGGATAACCCCTGACCCACCGCCCCAAATGTGGCCTTTCCCACCACCAACATCCCCTACCAGAGTGGTACATTTGTTAAAATTGGTGAACCTATATTGACACATCATTATTCCCCAACGTCCATAGTTTACATTTGGGTTTATTCTTGGTGTTGTACTTTCTGTGGATTTGGACAAATGTATAATGACTTGTATCCTACATTATAGTATCATACAGAATAGTTTCACGCCCTAAAAGTCTTCTGTGCACCATCTATTCACCTCTGTCTCCACCAGTGCTTGGCAACCACTGATCTTTTCAATGTCTCCATAGTTTTGTCTTTTCCAGAATGTCATACAGTTGGAATCATACAGTATGCAGCCTTTTCAGATTGGCCTCTTTCACTTAGTAACATGCACTTAAGCTTCCTCTATCTCTTTTCGTGACTTGATAGCTCATTTCTTTTTCGTGCTGAATAATATTCCTTGTCTAGATGATCCATAGTTTATCCATTTCTTTACTGAAAAGTATCTTGATTGCTCCCAAGTTTGAGCAATTATTAGTAAAGCTGTTATAAGTATCTATATACAGGTTTTTGTATAGCTGTAAGTTTTCAACTCATTTGGGCATCAGTGAGCACAATTACTGGATCATATGGTAAGAGTGTGTTTAATTTTGTAAGAAAGAGTTCTTTTTATATTTTGGGTAACAGTCCTTTATCAGATACATCTTTTGCAAATGTTTTCCCCCAGTCTGTGGCTTGTCTTTTCATTCTCTTGAAAGTTTTTCACAGAGTGGAAGTTCAGCTTATCAATTATTTATTTCATGAATCATGACTTTAGTGTTTTATCTAAAAAGTCACCACTGACCACCCAAGGCCATCTAGACTTTCTTCTATGTTTTCTCTACAAATTTTATAGTTTTGCATTTCACACTTAGGTCTATGATACATTCTGAGTTAATTTTTGAAGGGTGTAAGGTCTATATCTAGATTATTTTTTTCAGGGTGTATGACCAGATTTTCCCTTTGCTGAAAAGACTATCTTTTCTCCACTGTGTTGCCTTTATTCCTCTGTCAAAGATTAGTTGAGTGTGTTTGCCTGGGTCTGTTTCTGGGCCCTCTAGTCTGTTCTATTGATCTTTTTGTCTGTTTCTTCACTAATACCCACCTGTCTTGACTACTTATAGCTTTATAGTAAGTCTCAAAGTCATGTAGCGCCAGTCCCCTGACTTGTTCTTCCTCCGTATTGTGTTGGCTATTTTGGATCTTTTGCTTTTCCATATAAACTTTAGAATCAGTTCATCAATATCCACAAAATAACTTTCTGGGAAATTGATTGAAATTGCACCAAATCTATGGATCAAATTAGAAAGAACTGGCATCTTAACAATATTGCATCTTCCTATCCATGAACATGGACTATCTCTCCACATATTTTTAAGTTTTAAAAAATGTTTACCAGAAGCGATCTATATTTTATTACTTCAAAGTTAAAATGTCTTAAAACATCTATATTTTTACTTCTTCCCAGGTAAATATTTTCAATGCCAGTTATGTGGCACTAGCGTGTCAGTGTTCCCAGCAATCAGGCGACTCCTTTCTTCCAGCAGTCTTGCTGTCGATGTTTAATAACGCAGAGGCCCAGAGAAGAAAATAGAGCATTTAAACAGCACACAGGCTCTATCTAAATGGACTGTGTGTCTCTTTTCTAAGTTTCATCGTACAGTTTCTTCTCCCTCATGTGCCTCAGGGCTGTACCAGAATAAGATTTCCCTTAATTCCTGTCCTTTCATTTTAGGAGCTAGTAGATGACAACAAGACCAAATTATGGTTACTTTGAGGTCTGTGTGTAGTTGAGATCTTGCTCACGTTCTGTTCAGGCCACTTGAGGCTACGTGCACTGGTGATGGAAATCACTTACGTGGGGGCAAAGCTAAATTTCATTAACAGTGCACAGAATTCTAAATGGTGATAGCATTTTTGAAAACTGAGAAGTACTTGATTTGTCACTTTATCTTGTTTCTATTACCTAACATATGTTTTTATCATTTCTCTCTATAATTTAGTTTAACTGGATGTGAATAAGATGAAAATTGTAAAGCCAGATCACAATATTTTCTACAAAGATCTTTTTTAAAGCTTTCCAGTTGTGGGAGATTTTTACCCTTAAATTTACACTAATCCTAGTAATACAAGTTAGTTCTGCTCTTCAATGTATCACTTCCCTGCATCAGAAATGTTTAGTGAGATTTGCACTATGATTTCTCAGTACAGTTGACCCATGAACAATGAAATGCGGTGGTTAGGGACACTGACCCTCCCCACACCCCGTGCAGTTGAAAATCTGCATACAACTTTTCATTTCCCCAAAACTTAACTGCTAATAGCCTATGATTGACCAGAAGCTTTATGGATAAAATTAATGCTCATTTAACACATATTTTGAATGTTAAATATATTCTTACAATAGACTAGATAAAAGAAAATATTATGAAGAAAATCATAAGGAAGAGAAAATACATTTACAGTATTTGTTGAAAAAATGCACATATAAGTGGACCCATGTAGTTCAATCTCCTGTCCAAGGGTCAACCATAGGTGTATAGAGGCAAACCTATCAGCAACAGTGTGGCAGCCTGAAAACATTCTTGCAGAGCTACCCTTTGTGGATTCAAGCTGTGTTCTGCCAAGTGTCTGGCCATCCTTAAGACTTTCCTCTCTTCCCAGTTTTTCACTGCTTTCTACACACACACACACACACACACACACACACACACACACACACGTGCCCCCCCTTCCCCCCATCTCTCCACACTTCGTTCATGGAATCCATATTTGAAAGAGTGAAGGACAGATGGAGTAGGGCTTCTGCTTCTATTCTGACAACTCTCTCTTACCATTCTAGTCAATACTAAAAACAGCTAAACCTGGATAAACCTGGTAAGTGGCACAATGCTTATCACAGTATGCATCATGTCCTTCTCTAAAGGAAGAGATAAAACTTAGAAGGGAAGAACAGGACCATAATGAAGTTTTAAGCTAAAATAAGAAAAGTAAATGGACAAAGACATCCATCTTACTTGTTTTCGCATTTTGAGTTCTATAATTTAATAGCAACTTGGGATAAGTTTTTATTAGATTCTCCAGTGAATAAACAAGCTATATATCTCTTACCCCATTATAGAGCCATGTAAAGCGAGATAGTAGGAATTAGTGGGTCCTAAACCAACTCCATTAAGTAGCAAAGTTAAGCTGAGACTTCTAGAGAAGAAAAAATTTTTATATGTAATGTTATCATTTAGAGAGGATTAAAAAAACCTTATTAACATAGATCTGGCAGATCGCTGGAAGCTTTAAATCCTAAAACAGCTGTGTCATTGCAGGACGCCTATCTGTCACGTTCTCCTAGGAGCTCTAGGGGAATCTTAGAGCTTTGGGAAATGGAATTGATGATTTGAGGATACCACTTTTCTGAGTCATTAACCACATCCCACTGCCACACCCAGGACTTTGCAGATGCATTACTGATTTCACTCGGAACCAGCGATGTCTGGATCCTTGGAGAAGCAAATTTTCTTGGCACTTTATATGTTTTCTCAATATATTTCAAGCTAAGTGCCATATTGATTTGATTAAAATTCACTCTTGAAACTTTACTTTCAAAGAAAACGTACTTTCTTTTATGAATTTTGATGAAGTCTTCCTGGCAAATCAACCTCATAGTTTATTTCATAAGGGTGTGTGATTCAGAAAGTTACTTGGGATTAGGGTCATTTCGCCAATCGTGAGTGGAAAAGTTAAGGAAAAGATTTTTGAAATTTTTTGATAACTTTGATAAAATTTTTAAACTTATAGAAAAGTGTGCCATAATAGAAAGACCATTATTGTATATCCTTTACCAGACCCACCAATGATTGACATTTGCTCCCTCCCCAACTGCTGACTTCCCCTTTCCCCTTCGTGTGTGCGTGCGTGCGTGTGCGTGTGTGCGTATGTGTGCGTGTGCGCGTGCATGTGTGCCATTTCCTCATCAATTGAGTTTCACCAGATAGGTCAAACAGAGCAACTTTAAAACCCTGTAAAGTTCATGGCATGAAGGCAGTCTCCCTATTTTTGTTTATTTTTACAAAGTATCATTCTGCTATTCCAGTGTTCCAAATAAATAAATGAAAAATAAAAACTCTACTAAGTTTTAAAGTTTCAATATTATCTATTGATGGCGATCTCTAACCCCAGCTAGAAATAAGGAAATAAGGAAACCTATTTCAGATAGAACAGTTATGGCCAGTTTTGGACAGTGTAGTGCTCCTTTTTTTGCCTTCTTTCATCCTATGGAATACGACAAGTTAAATTCACATCTCTGTCATTTTCCTCTCCTATTTTCTCCTTCGTACATGATTAAAACAGCGGGTCACAGAGAGTCGAGAGAACCAGATGACTATCGAAGAGAGGAAGCACCTCATCACTGTGAGAGAGGAAGCCTGGAAGACTAAAGGCAAAGGAGCAGCTAACGACTCCACCCAGTTTACGGTGGCCGGGAGAATGGTGAAGAAAGGTCAGAGTGTGTGGGTGCGCATGTGCGCGCGCGTGGGTGCGCATGCTCCATCACCCATGGAGGGCGGCCTGTGACAGCGCGGTTAAAACTATCTTTTTTGGTTTTTAATTTCACTGAACTTGTATAAATGGTTTGGGGGTAGGTTTTGTGAGATATTCCTACCAAACACCTGTTTATATATGTGGTGTCGTCTTCAATGTAAGAAGCTTAATTCAATTAGTCACATTTCAAAACTTAGCCATTTGGAAATTGAGCACAGGTTTCAAAAGCAATTGCAAATCTGCTAACAAATCTTAGTCCTTTTTATAATTGCTTTAAAATTACTTCCATTTTCTTGCCATCTAGCAATCAGTTAACCCAAATTAGCCTTTCTCAATGAAGAAAAAGTTTATCTCTTCTCCTTTGTGGGGTAATTCCTAGGCCCCTTTCCATCAAACCAGAGTTTCTGGCTTACAAAGCCTAATTTCCAGCTATTTTTTAATAGATGTCTATAAGATCTATCCAGTTATAAGGAAGTTGGATTTTCCTGCAGATGGTCATTTTCCTGAAGCTGAGCTGTTGGAACTGATTTGAAGTCTATATCCAAAGATTTATGAAACTGAGGAATCACATGGTTAGTAAAGTCTCCAGAGAGCTTTGAGCCTCCAGATCCTGTAGGAAATGATTAAAATGCGCAGTCCCTTTGTCACCTATGTGCACACACCTTCGTTTTCTAAGCTATTAATTTAAAAGCAAATTTCCTAACTTAGTGGTAAACGGTTTCACACTCAGAGTTAACTTATCAGCTTTCTAGGTTTATCTGTCCCTTTTCTCAAAACCTTTCAGGATCCTCACTCATACATAGTGCTTATCTTATTGTAGCCTTGTCATAAATATTGGGGAACCCCCTGAATTGAGATGAACTCAAATCTTGGAGGAAGAATCCTCTGTAACAAATTCTTAATTCATCTTGGAATTGTCAGAAGATAACAGCAGACCATTTACTCTCAGAATGAGGTAGCATTTGAGTATGTTCTTCACCAAATCACAGAACTATCCAGTCATGTTAACCTACTTCAATATGAGCCCGATCTCTGTGTTAACAGTGGCAGGCCCTTAAAGCCCACCTCAATTAAGAAGGACTCAAGCCGAGAACTTGGACCAGAGCTCAGATCTTCCAACCTCTAGCCTGGACTTTTATCCTGATAACTTTTCATTTTGGTTTCTTTTTTCCTCTTCCATCTTGAAATCACAGTTGAATTGTAAGCAGTCCCTTACTTACCAAATCCCACTGCCCTCATCCACAGCAGTGTCAGAGGAAGAAGATTAGCTATTATGCAGGTTTGGAGAGCAAGATTCAAGAATTTCCTGTCTCTTAGTGCAGGGGTCCCCAACTACCAGGCAGCGGACCAGTACCAGTCCATGGCCTTTTAGGAACTAGGCTGCACAGCAGGACCTGAGTGATGGGCCAGCGAGCAAAGCTTCATCTGTATTTGCAGCCGCTCCCCAGTGCTAGCATCACAGCCTCAGCTGCACCTCAGACCGTCAGGCATTAGATTCTCATAGGAGCACCCGTCCCTGGTGCCAAAAAGGTTGGGAACCGCTGCCTTAATGGATGAGTTTGCTTTTACATTTTCCCGAATAAATCAGGAATCTTTATTTAACAGATGATATATGACTTGCTCAGAAAATAATTTTCTTATACTTTTCATCTAGTGAAAAAACTGCACCCTAATTTTCTGATATTTGTTACCATGTACAGGGGCGTCTTTTTCACTTGCGTGATGAGATCTTTTTGATTTGCCGTAATTTGGCATCCAGTTTACAGTCACCACAGATTAAAACAGCCCCCTACACTACAGCCACAAAGACATCCCATCTCACTAGTTATAATGGCACATTTCGCAGCTGCAAGTTGTACTGGGGAATTGCCAAGAGGCATTTTGTACCCTGGTTTTCATTCTCTCACCCCAGAAAACTCTACTCTCTCTTAGCCTCATTAAAATTTTCTCCCATTTTGGCATTCCCAGAGTCTCTGTAACAATTAGTACTCCACAAGGTTTCTGTGGTATTCTAGTACTTCCCCTGGAAGAAAAATACTAAAAGTATGCCTTCAAATAGGAGGGATGAGAAGATATTCCCAAAAGGAGTGGGTGACTAGTTATTGCATGTAGGATTCATTGAAAACAGGTGTGGGGAGAACTTTGTTTTGTTTTAACATCGTGTAAATTAAATCTACATGCCCTCTTCCTTATCTCAAGTTGGGAAAGAGAAGGCCCACCCCCAGGAGATCTCCTGCATGCTGCTGCCTGATGGGCAGCAGGGGGTGCCCTGACAGTACGGAGGACCAAGTTTCCTGGTTGCCTTTCGAGTCGGGCCTGTTTATAAGCTTCAGAGTTAATGACTTCTGTGCTAATAAACGTTTCCATGTCTCTTATGCATCCTTATAGTAGGAAACAGTCTACTGCCCCAGGCTGTGATACCAAATTTTACCTATCTTTATTTTCTTCCCAGAAAGTTTACTTTCTCACTGATATAAACCCTTTGCAGGCCTGGTAACTGAAATAAATTTTGAAAATTTTATTGACTTCATCACCAAATATATGTACATATTGAGAAGTACTTCTAGAACATCACCTAAAACTTAAGTTTTAAACTATATTTTAGTATTTTTCCTTAAAATTTTTATGCTATAATAATACATCCTCCACTTCACAGAAAGAAGGGCTTATAAGAGATAGTGGTTTACATCTTCTACAGATGTTCTTTGATGGGTGCTTAAAGTGACAGTGTCACCTGAGGATTTCACATTCATTACAAATGGATACAAAGAACATTAATATCTCGTTTAGTTCTTTGTAAATGCACTAATTACTTCTCATTCTAATCCCACCTACTTAGGTTAGGACAAAAATACTCATCTTTATTTTTATTAAGGTTTCTTCTTCCATCCAGTTACCTTCTTTATGCTATAATTCCTTTCCTTCCCTTTCGTATGTCCCTTACTATTTCTCTCTTTAAAATTTCCCCACCCTGCTTCTTGATAAACAAATGTGAAAGCAAATTGCTGGTTCCCAGCCACACCTGAAATGGATACGCCCTTCCTACAATCAAAAATCGATTTAAACATATATTCTTCTGTGTCTTTCTTCTAAAAGGCTAGCACTCCTTGAGTGATTGCTCTCCTCTGAGTGATGCACCCAACGGCAAGACTGTCTCTACTCACCTCAGCCTGGAGGGAAACTCCAGTTCTGGGGGCCACTTGCCAGCCAGTGTGACACAGCCCCTTCTCCACTTCCTCTGTGGGAAACAGTGCAAATAGGCTTTCTCTTCAACTAAGTCCACCACCCCCAAGGGCCTTCAGAACTCACAACTGCGTTCGTTCAAGTACATCCTGTTACCTGTTGTGCTTTCTTTTTCTTTTTACATGTTACGGACATCTTTTCTCAAATGTCCTCATTGTTCATTTTGGAATGGCAGCTTATCAGCTAGCGCAGTCCTTGGAAACTATCAAATTCTATCTACATTTGCAGTTACCCTACATAGTCATAGTACCCGCCAAATGTATGTGTGTGTGCATGCATGCGTGTGTATAAATTCTGTAAAATTGTAAAATCCACACTGGGGCTAAAAGAGATCCAGCAGTGTCTGGGGATTTCCAGAAATGATCCTGAGATACCAAGTAGCTCTCTGGTTTATTCCGCAGGTTTGGCGTCACCCACTGCCATAACTCCAGTAGCATCCCCTATTTGCAATAAAACAAGAGGAACAACACCAGTTTCTAAACCCCTGGAAGGTAAGTCACCAAGGTGCCTGACATGCCAGTGGCTCTATGACCGGAAGAGTTCTTAGTGGCGCTCACTCACTGATGCTTTCTTCTTGCCTAGATATCGAAGCCAGACCAGACATGCAGTTAGAATCGGACCTGAAGTTGGATAGGCTGGAAACCTTTCTAAGAAGGCTGAATAACAAAGGTACATGCTGGAAGCCAGAGGGATACTTTGGTTTATATGCTTACAGCACAGTGTGATTTGTATTTCAGTGAATAGCTAAGGAAACCTAAAAAGAACCTGCTCCTCTCTCAAAATCTCTAAACCCCAACTGTGATGGCTTTTCTCAGCTAAACTGTGCCCTTTCTATATAACTGCCCTGATTCATACTGTAAGCGTTATCTTTGTTATCTTTTTAAAAATGAAGTTGTTGGTCAAGTCTGATTGTATTGCCAAGCTTTGATTCACTTGATAATGTACTAAACTGGGGACCCCCAATAACAGTTGTTTCTAAGTCTAAATCCTTGGGATGTAATCCAATCAGGATCATGACTTCAATTTGCTTTTAACACTGAAAGCAGACTATTAGACTTCTACAAAATCAGCGTGCTCTTGGGCCTGATGAACTTTAAATTATATGTGTCGATTTCCAATAAAGTAGCAGCTGATATATTTATGTTATAATCACAAATGATTTCTAAAAGAAAATTCTGGTAAATAATTTTTAAAATAAATATTTCAATATAAAATAAAATAATAATATGCAGCAATAAATAGCCTCATCTCTTAATAAAAATGTCCAGTACTTGAAACTCATCAAAATACTAAGCTTTGGGAGTCTCCTTTGACAGTGATCCCTAATAGGCTAGAAATAATACAGCCTTTTAAAACCAGAAACATAAAAGTATAATAGAATAACTAACCTAGCAAGGCAAGGATGCACACAATTCAAAGTTTGTTACATATATATGTAACAGTGATCTAGCCAGGGGTCTAATCCAGTTCTCTACCTACTATTGTAAATAAAGTTTTATTGGAACATGGTTATGCCTATTTTAAATATTATCAATATTCGCTTTTACACTACAACAGAGTTGAGTAGTTATAACACAGGCCATATAGCCTCCATTGCAAAGCCTGAAATATTTACTATGTGGCCCTTTGCAGAAAAAGAACTTGCCAACCCCTGATCTAGAATGAGGCTGAAGCTGGTTCTGCCTCCTGTAGCAAAAGGAACAAGTTCAGAAATGCTTACTGGGTTTGCATGCAGCAAGGCCATCCTCCCTCCCTCCTCCCATGTCATGGCACAAGCTATATTCAGACAAGAAGTATTTTCATGAAAAGTCAAGGAAGGCCTAGGAAGCATCACAGGACCCTGGATGTCACGAATATGTTTTTGCCACTCCTAGAACTTAGGGGGAAAATAATTTTTAAGATACTGTGAGGTACAATTGGAGTAATATTTTTACACAAACTTATGGCCTTTCTTTGTTTGTTTGTTGGTAGTTGGTGGGATGCAAGAAACTGTACTCACCGTCACTGGCAAATCAGTTAAGGAGGTGATGAAGCTGGACGATGACGAAACCTTTGCCAAATTTTACCGCAGTATGGACTATACTGTGCCGAGGAGCCCTGTGGAGCTGGATGAAGACTTCGATGTTATCTTTGATCCTTATGCTCCCAAGTGAGTTATTGCAATTTCTATCTTGTACACAGTGAGAACATATTCCTTCATCAGACATCACCCAGTACTTTCATTAGAATCTTCTTCACTGTTCTCTCCTGTGATAGAACTTTATTATAACCAAATTATCACAGTAGTCCCCTTTATCCACAGAGTATAAGTTCTAAGACCCCCCAGTGGATGCCTGAAACCATGCATAGTACTGAACCCTGTGCATTCTGTGTTTTTTCCTATACATACAGACCTTTTCATTTAAAGGAAGTGCTTTACGGCTTCTCTCTGGCATATCCAAACAGCTGCTCTGCACTTTGGGGCCATTAAGTAAAATAGGGTGACTTGAACACGAGCACTGTGATCCAATCGCAGTCGCTCTGATAACCAAAATGGCTACTGACTAACGGGCAGGGAGCATATACAGCGCGGAGACACTGGACAAAGGGATGATTCAGGTCCTGGCAGGACAGAACGGGACAGCAGGAAATTTCATCACGCTACTCAGAATGGCGCACATTTAAAACTTATAAATCGTTTATTTCTGGAAACTTCCATTTAATAGTTCTGGGCCGTGGTTGACTGTGGGTAACTGAAACCATAGAAAGTGAAACCATGGATTAGGAGGACTACTGTATATTCTGAGCCAGACGAATAGTGCTGCGGGGTAGATGAAGCACGCAAACCCAAAACAGACGCACATTCAAGCAGAAAGTCTTGCACACACAGCATTGGGAAATAAAACTGTGAAGACCATTGCTTCTGTCAGAGACCCACAAATAAACCAGGAGTGGGTGATATCACAGACGAGGGCTGCAGCTCTGCATGTGCCACACATGTTTGCCCTGTTCCTAAAACTGCCACTGGGTTTTTCACATAACTCCAACATTGTTTTGCAGATTTTCAGACCAACATCATTTAGCAGAGATTTCTATGCCTTTCTTTCATTTGATGTATTTGACATATTGAATCCTTACTCATGGCTTTCAAAAATATTTGGGTCACATGGGCTCAGGTTAATACAACTAACCAGAAAATGAATAAAACATGTTACATAACTTAGAATAACTTGTAAAATCTGTAGATCTGAGGATTTTCTCAGTGATATCCCAGGATCTCTCTTCACATAGGAATATGACTAATCCACCCAAGAAAAATGATTATGGTATTAAGATTCCTTCAGTGGCAGAAAGAAATCCAAGTCAAAATGACATTAGCCAAAGAAAGGCGAGGGGGATTTGCAGGCTCACTCACTGATGAGTGTAGGCATGAACTCAGGGTCTGGAGGCTCATAAGAAGGTGGTCTCTCTGTTGCCTGTTCTCCTTTGGGCTGACTTCACTCTCAGGCTGTCGCCATCTTGGGGAATGGCCACCCCTAGCTCTGGACTTTTAGCTACCTACTTGGCCACTCCAGCACAGGCAGGTTCTCTTCCCTGGGAGTCTAGCAGATGTCCCAGGCTTGATTTTTTGGGGCCTGGGTCCATTCCTAAAGCAATCATTGTGGCTAAGGGGTGGAAGATGCTGATTGGTCAGGGCTGGTCTCTGGATCCAGCCCTGAGCCCGAGTGAGGGGTGGGGAATGGATTGAGGTTGGTCTCACAAACGAGAGGCAAGCTGCTCGTACCAGAAGCAGGGAGAATAGTATGCAGGGCAGGCTAAACCCACAGCTATCGATCATATTTATCTATTTCCCTATGAGTGACATAGTCTCTTAGGGCTGAGTGAGCCAGAAGTCTGTATAGTTATCATAAATTGTTCCTTAAGCCACTCCTGATACCTTTTTTGCATCTTTCAATGTGTTTAGTTTTTTTTCCAATCCACTACCTTAAAAAATAAACAATTTGCCATTTCCCATATTTAAATAATATTTGGGGTATTTGCATATATAGTTATTCAGCCATTTCTCAATCTTCTCCTAACCCAAATGCCACTGTTTAAATCATTATATATAATTTAAATATATACATATGTTTACACACACACATACACGGGACAATATTATATATAAAGAAGATTTGCAGGCACAGAAACCAGTGAAGTTGGAGGTTGGGGTGGTAACTGGAATCGTGTGACTGGGCTCCCCCACCTCCCCACGTCTGGTCTCCTGCCCAGTGAATTGTGTGAGTGTAAGACAGTCATAGTTGGTTTTGTGGGCCTATTTTATTTGCATATATTCTCCAAATAGTGGTTATTTTTCAGAAGGGGGCAATGGGTTGAGAGGAAGCTAGTTAATGGGGGGAGTTGGTGAGGGAACTGAAAAATTGTCATGTAAAGAGGAAGTTTAGTCTAGAAAAGAGATTAAATGGAGAAGCAATGGCATCTAGAAATTCCTGAAGGGCTTGCGATTGACAGAAGACGTAGATGTGTGTATTTTTCTGACGGGGAGACTTAGGACTGGGGCATGGGTGTGCTGAGGTTAAGGAAGAACTTTCTACCCTTCAAAGCTGCCTAGTGGTGGGATGAGCTGCCTGTCAGGCACAAGTGCTCCTCAGGCAGAGATCATAAGGCTGAGTGAGCCAAAGACTTCCGTGATTGGCTGGGCTCCTGAACTAAATGACTCTGTCCTTAAATCTCCTCCCTTCCATCCCCAAGAATCTGTGACTCCATGACAGGGGAGTGGTGGGCCAGAGGATGTATAAGATGTATAACAATATTGGGAAATAAAACTGTGGAGCCCATTACTTCAGGTCAGAGACTCGCAAATCAACCAGGAGTGGGCGATATCACAGACGGGGGCTGCCGCTCTGCTTCGCTCCTCAGGTTGACGTCTTCGGTGGCTGAGCACAAGCGTGCGGTTAGGCCCAAGCGCCGGGTTCAAGCTTCCAAAAAGGAGTCATAAGATGTATAACAAAATTGGGAAATAAAACTGTGGAGCCCATTACTTCAGGTCAGAGACTCGCAAATCAACCAGGAGTGGGCGATATCACAGACGGGGGCTGCCGCTCTGCTTCGCTCCTCAGGTTGACGTCTTCGGTGGCTGAGCACAAGCGTGCGGTTAGGCCCAAGCGCCGGGTTCAAGCTTCCAAAAACCCCCTGAAAATGCTGGCGGCGAGAGAAGATCTCCTTCAGGAATACACTGAGCAGAGACTGAACGTTGCCTTCATGGAGTCCAAGCGAATGAAAGTGGAAAAGAGTGAGTTTTTGGAAGCACCACACTGCTTCTGTGCCTGGGAACTGGCGATTTGGTTACTTTAATCGTCTCTTTTTTTCTGGCTTACAAAGGCTGGTAATAGTACTCATAAGACACCCATTAAATAAAAATGAGTAAGTTTGCGCGTGCGCACACAAGCGCGCGCGTGCACACACACACACACACACACACGTGCACCTGCAGAAAATCTGCCTGGGATTTAAAGGCGGTTCACAGAAATTCTTACAGTGTTGAATTCACTTGGTGAATTCAAATTATTGTTTTTCTTCAGTTTTCTTTTAAGAGTTTGGAGCGGGATGTTTCTGGGCTTTGTAATTCAACCCATTTTCAGCTCTGTCGGGCCCAAACACAATAATTCTCCACTTAATCTTATTCAAGAGAAAATCATTTGATCTCTCATGGAAAAATGTCCCAAATCACTACTTTGCCTAATCCTAGTTTTTTTGTATTATTAATTGGTTTATAATGCATAAACCAATGCTTTGCAAATGTCTTTGGTGGGACCCTCAGGCTCCTAGAAGTTGGGATGCGGGTTGGGTGGAATGGGGGGACTTGGGGTGGGGGCAGTGGAGGGAGAGTGGGGAGCTAGGCTCCCCGCTCTGTCTCACTTTAGACTAAGTTGCTCTGCTTTTATCTGCCCAGTAATGTGGGGTTTCGTAGTTCTGAAACAGTTTCCCTGGAGGAGATAATGGCATATATAATCTTGCTGTTCTGAATATTCTTCCTATAATTTTTATTTTACTGTAGCACTCATAAACCTATTTGCCAAATTTTTCCTTAAAAATTAGTATTTAAATAAAGTAGTTGAGTCTTTTCATTGTAACTGGTTTACTAAGAAAGTATATTTCCAAATCACTATGCCATATGAATTGTCAAGGTGTGTTATATCTCTTCAATATGAGAACTTAATCCCAGCAAAATGATTTATTGAATTTCTCTCTAGCATATACTTTTTTTTTTTTGTAACAATGTGCTGGAGAAATAAAGGTTTATTGGCACAAGTTTTAGGTACTTTACCTCTGTTTTTAGGGGGCGCAGAGGATGGCTTTGTGGTGACTGGCACATATACACTTGTTGGTCCACACTGAAAACTCAACATCTTATTCGTATACTATTAAGTCTGAGAGCAAAGGACCTCAGGAGATCAGCTATTTAATCATTTTGCCTCCAGAAAAAGATTAGAACTCAACCATCTCTTATAGAATGCCCACTTTTCTACTTTGGGTAGAAAATAAAGACTTTTGATGAAAGATATCTAACAGCGTTCTTTGGGAATGCATTTTCAACATCTAAACATTGTAAGGAACGATAACAGCTTTCACTGAAATTGCAATAAATGAGTCCAGCTTCTGTTTTATACTAAAGTAGCTGTACCACATCGTCACACAATTTTTGTCTCTACATGGCGAGGCGTGACACTTGTCAACAGTCGGTTTATAGTTTCAGTACAGTGTTCAATTCTTAATATAGTGGTTAAGCATTAAACTGTATAGTTAATCAAACTTGAGTTCTCACCCCCCCACCCCCACCCCACAGGATTAACTTTAGAAGAAAAAAATAGTCACGAATAATTTCTGATTGTGTCGTCATTTCACCTGAACGTGTTGCTTCCCCCTGCGTTGTGTTTCCTTCTTCAACGCCCCCCAGTGTCCTCCAACTCCAACTTCTCAGAGGTCACTCTGGCAGGTTTAGCCAGTAAGGAAAACTTCAGCAACGTCAGTCTGCGGAGCGTCAACCTGACAGAACAGAATTCTAACAACAGCGCGGTGCCCTACAAGAAGCTGATGTTGCTGCAGATTAAAGGTATGTGAGAGCAGCAGAGAGGAGCCACACGTGGACCAGGGGTTTCAGTCTGGAGACATCAGGGGTCGTGATTGCTTGTCATCGTCTGTTGGAAGAAGTGAACACACGCTTCGCGAGAACCTGCTAGGGGCCAGGCACTGAGCTACCTCCTCACACGCAAGCTTCACAAAATCCCTGAGGTATTGTACCCACTGAGGCCTAGAGGGGTTAGTACAGGCCTGCGGTCACAGCAGCTGTTGAGAGGCAGAGCTGATTTGAACCCAGGTCTCTCCATTCCAGAGGCGGCTGCCTCCCCATGGGCCCTGCCATATATTGTCATGCAGTTACCAGATGCCCCCTCAGTCATCACAGTGCTTCTCTCCACGCAGTTGTCCTCGCTGAGGTAAACAGAGAGAGGCACATTCTTGGAGAAGAAACACAAAGTAAGCAGAGGCAAATGAAGTGGGCCAGATTCCACGCCAACACCCTTTCTGTCCACGACAATGGAGACGTAGCTCTGGGCTGGGAGGATAGACTTCGCTGCCTTCTCCAGGAGAAGGATGGAGGAAGTAGCCTCTCCATCTGCGAGGGTTTCCAGTGTGTTTCTGCATAATCACTGTCCTGAGTGTACTTAAAAGACTGGTGACCAGCATGAATAACCAACCTCTATTCCTGGTTCTAATCCAGACACTAGACTATCGGTGTGATTGTGGAAAGGTTTAAATCAACAGTCATTTAGGGGGTGTTGATGGCAACACAAGGCTGGCCTCTAGGCTGATTCCCCTCTCCTGTGGGTTAGAGTGGAAACTCA